GTATCATAGAGAAAATCGTCAACTTTTCCAAATAGTACTGACTATTCAAGAAACATAATATAACCTTGAATTTGACCATAGAGTTCCTTAATGACCTTGACAAGAACCATCTCAGCAAAGTGTGTGGAGGGAGCCCCAGCTGGGAAAGATGGAGGAGAGAGGTGAGAAAGAGGTAGAGAATATGAATCACTATGAAGCCATGAGAAATGGCACAGGAGTAGCTGGGAAGAATGTAGTATTAGAAAGTATGTTTTAAAGGTAAGATGCATTAGGACACAGTTATATACTAGTAGTAGAAGGAAGTTGTCAATGACCTATTCAGGGGGGACCATTACAACAGTGAGTTATAGAGAAAGCAAGGGCACAAGTATAAGAGTTGGACTTTATACAAAGCAAGGACAATTCTTCCATTGGGACCAAAGGATGCAGATTCATTTGATACAAGGTCGTGATTCTTTCTTCTTGTTTATAATTACTGAAGTATGAGTTCAGCACTCTAGAACCGATCTTCATTTACTTCTACATGCTACTTCTTCAACCTTATTATACTTCTTTCCAGCATTGTTACAAGTCTTATGAGCATACATTTATCACTAACATTTAAATTAAGATATATCTTGAGGTGTATGTTAAAAGGAAAGGGCTCTGTGGTTGAAGAAGTAACTAAAATTTTAGTAGAACCTGGGTGGCTGTGACATCTATTATACTAGATGAAACCGCATAGTTGGCCACAGGGTCAAACTGCAAGTAGATTAAAAACAATTCTTGCTGGGTACCCATGTGAGCCTGTGTTCCTGTTGGTATTACAAGTTGTTTTTCTTGCTGAAATTTAAAGATGGATAAAGAAACTAACATAAAGACTTTAATGAGATTTATGTTTAACAAGGGACCGCTATTCTACCCCAGTGGCTCTGGAATCACCTTAGATGATGGAATTTGGTATTTGCAAGAGTATTTTAAGCCAAAGTAAAAGCAAATAAAGCTGTGCCATTACAGTAGTACAATTACATAGTAAGAATGGAAACTGAATATCGGGCAGCAGTCGCGGTTCCATTTTTCTTTGTAGAACTGAATGAAAATACAAGGGAAACTGTAATAACAGTCCCCAAGGGCATCCACGACCTTTGACAACAGAGAAAGAAAATATTTATAGTTTGAAGCTGCACGTCTTTGGCATTACAGAATAAATGGAAAACATAATCTGGTTAACAAGCTGTGTTTCCTACAAGAGGATCAAAAATCTTACAGAAGGATTCTGGCTTCGCTTCCTCCAGTTCTTACTGGAAGAGAACATTCAATAAAGTAATAAGACTGTTAACCAATCCAACGATGAAAATTATTAATGGTGTAGAATTACGTTGAAACGCACACATATATAATCAAAAATAAATAGAAATAATTTCTTTTCCATAGTAGATAAACTTTTACTAAAAATGAACTATTCATTCCTTTATTCAAAAAGTATATTTTGAGGGGCTGGGAAGGTAGCTCAGTGGTAGAGTGCTTGCCTCGCATGCATGAGGCCCTGGGTTCAATTCCTCAGCACCACATAAGCAGAAAAAGCCAGAAGTGACCCTGTGGCTCTCAAGGTCCTAGCCTTGAGCTGAAGAGCTAAGGGACAGCACCCAGCCCCAGAGTTCAGGCCCCACGACCAACAAAGATCGATCGATCGATCGATAGATAGATAGATAAATATTGTTTTCAGGAATCTGGTCTAGGAGTATGAAGTATATTAGTCAGCAGGTTAAAACAAAACTAAACAACCCTATTCTCAACAGTGCTTATATACCTACCTATTGGAAGTGTGGGACAATACATGCAATACGTTAGTAAGATAAGTTAGTGTGTATTTTAGTTAGTTTTCTCATTGCTGTAACAAACTACCTGACATAAACAGCCTAGAGGAAGAAGGATGTATTCGGGTTCAATCTGTAGCCATGTGGCATGCATGAATGTCATGCTTAGAATGTCATGGTGGTCCTAGCATGTGTAGAGACATCCCCCACCATGGTAGAAGCAGAGAGAGCAGTAACAGGGAAGAGGCAGGGAAGAGATAGCCCCTGAGGATATACTGCCCAGTGATTTAAGTCCTCCAGGAAAGTTAGTTGAATGGCTAACTCCTTTATACAACTACACAAAGATAATTAATAATAACAATAAAGACAATACCTAAAAAAAACCTCACTCACCACTCACCACCCTACATAAAAATACTCATATTAGTGGAATCCTGCTCCTATTTAAACACCAAGATAACAAGTAAAATCCATGACGATCCATACCTAGTGCATAAGAATGGAAAGAATTATCCCCTTCTTCCTGTTTCTACAGTACTTTATATATTTAGTTTTGAATTTGCTATATTCCTTCTTCTGTCTTAAATATTTGTGTTTAATTCTCCATTAGACTGAAACTCATTAAATGGAGGACCCAGATCTTACTCCACCTATAATAAACCCACAATATTAGGTCAGTGCCTTGAACACAGCAAGGTCTCAATACATTTGGGTTAGACTGCATTGATGACTTAGACTTACTGAAACAAAACAGATATATAAAGGTTCTAAAGGAAATGCTGTTCCAAAATCTGTAGTCATCACTTTTAAAATGGATTTTAAAATCTAGCAAAATTTGTTTCACTTACAATCCTATATAGAGTACTTGCCATGTCACTACATCTGACAAATCAGTATATATATACATATATATATACATACACACCTATATATGTGTGTGTGTGTGTATATATATATATATATATGTTTAAAATAATTTGATGCTAGAAACACAATAATTAACCAGTACTATAAATAGTCATGATCAATTCGGAATTTAATGATGTATAAGAATTATGGGAACATTTAGATGGTCTTGTGAAAATCTAGCTACACTTACTCATTTTAAAGAAATATTCAATTATTTCCAGATGCCACATGCTCATGTCTATAATCCTAGCTACTCAGAAGGCTAAGATCTGAGTATTGCAGTTCAAAGCCAGCCCGGGAAGGAATGTCCTTATCTTCATTTAACTCTTATCTCCATTTAACTACCAAAACCAGACAAAAGTGGCACTGCAGTTTAAGTCTTAGCATGCTAGCCTTGAGTACAAAAGAACAGGGAGAGCCCTTAGTCCCTGAGTTCAAGCTCCAAGACAGGCATAAGGAAGAAAGGAAAGAAGGAAGGAAAGAAAGAAAGAAGGAAGGAAGGGAGGGAGGGAGGGAGGGAGGGAAGGAAAATATCCAATATTGTACTAAGATAAATACTTTTGTTTTTGTTTCTATTCAAAGAATTACAAAACATTCAGTTATTTTTTTCAGACAAAAGTGGTATCATGTTAAGATAATAATGACAATTCACCCCACCAGTTGGCTTTACATCTTTGCATCCAGGTGCTTGAACATGAATTAGAGATTAGCTTTTTGTCCAAATATGTCACAATCTGGCAGAAATGATAAGCACATGGCCATTTGATTAGATACAAGAGCTTCTCCACTAATGTTTTCTCTTTGGAATTCCTGGGATGATTCCACAAAGAGGATGAATTTGAATGTTGACTTTGAGAGGATAAGTAGATTTTTCCAGGTATTGAGGTGAAAATAATTTGGGGTAGGAAAAAAATGACCAAAATTCAGAAAATACAGGTCCTGTTGGGAAGAGTTGATGGGCAGAGATACTGGGAGGATTGTGTGGGGTTGTGAAGGACATGAATTGTATGCCAAGAAACTTTTAATTGTGCTATAGAAAATGGAGAGCCATGTGGGGTTTTTAATCATCACAGTAACCAAATCATTGCTAAGTTTTTGACAGCCACTGAGAAAAGCATTGTATAGGATGACTTCTCAGGAGAGAAAGAGGGAAGATACCAGCCAGCCAAGTATTGATTTCCCTCTGCTTCCTGCCATTTCTCAGCAACAGTGTTTAGCTGCTAAACAGACCCATAAAAACAGATGAAAAAGCCAAGGCCTTTTACTTCAGTTAAATGGATAATTGAATTGTTTTCTATTTTCTTAAAAAGAATATATCAAAAAGTATTATGAATCTCTTTGAATACAGGGAAATAAATATGGTGAGACTCATTTGAGTCAGCACATATGGAAAGCAACTATGTACAAATCTTGCTGGAAGTTGTAGGGAAATTTATTCACTCACTCATTCAGCTAACATTTACTGAGGACCTACTATGCGTTCTGTAGGACAGTTTGGCTCATGGATACATACAGTGAAGGAGGGACATGTCTCGTAGTCTGAGTTCACATTTCAGTAAGGAAATTTACATATTCACTAAGCTTTCTGCCCACATTAGTATATAATTACAAATTTTTTATGTGTTATAAAATGATTAAGAAAAAATTTAATTCAGAATTCAGAGCCAGGAATGGTGGCTTACAACTATAATCCTAACTAGTCAAGAGGCAGGAGGTAGGAGGATCTTGATTTGAGGTCAGTTTGGGCAAGAACATTCTTAAGACTCTATCTCAACAGAAAAAGCTGTCATTGTAACTATGGTGAGAAACATTAATGGAAGGGTCCTGGATCAAGACTGGCCCAGGCAGAAAACAAGACCCTTTTTGAAAAATAACCAAAGCAAAAAATGGATGGAAGTATGGTTCAAACATAGAACCCCAACTGACAACTAGAGTAAACCACTGTCCCTCTCAGGGTAATGGTGATCTCAGACAAAAGTAGAATCTAATGAGTTCAAATACTGGAAAATGTCCATTTGTACAGGACTAAATCATGCATAGGAATTTTGAGGAAACATTAAGTCATTAGCAAACTAAAGATGTTCTTGATAGAACTGACAAAGCCTTTGGGTCATTCATGAGGTTTCATATATCACATTTTCCCCATGGAGAAAACAAATGTATTAGGATACTTTCTGGTGAGATATAACTGAATTTAGTATATCATATTATAGGGTTTTGTTGTCTCACGTGTATCTAAAAGTTGACTTCTTGTCCATAATAAGTTCTTAAATATGAGATGGGTTTTCTCCACAGGCATGAACGCATTCACACCAAGAAAAATAACTTAAGCAGATCTCTAGCTTCTGATCTGAAGGATGTAGATGATTTGGCAACCCTAGATGTTTTAGATGAGGTAAGGTTTGAGTTTAATTATTCTTAGACATTCCAGAATTTTCTAATTTACACAAGTGATGTAGAGAAGGGATTCTTTCATGCTTTTCTCATTTCTTAACTTAGGGATGATTTCTCCTATGTTCAGTTTTAATGGATAGATCTCAGGTTTTCAGGTCCTTTTCCAGATCCTTCCATCCTTTTTTGATGTTCAAATAACTCATCCAAGCATGAGTTACTATTGCAATCACCTCAGAAATATTCCAGGTATTTGAACTCAGAGCAACTCACTCTTACTTGGCTTTTCCACTCAAAGACGATGCTTACCACGCGACCCTTGCCTCCACTTCCAATGTTGGCTAATTCATTGGAAAAAGAGTCTTGAAGGTTTGTTTGCCTGTTCAGCTTCAAACTTCCATTCTTAGATCTCAGCTCCCAAATAGCTAGGATTACAGGCTTGAGCTCCCAATTCTGGTGTTCTTTCTCTTTACCTCATGGACTGCATGGACTCATTCCTTGAAATCCAATTAACATAGTTTAATATGGTATATGTGCCATACATCATATAAATGTGACAGGTATGTCCTTGGACACATACATCTATCGAAAGCAAAGAATGCCTGAGTAGTACTTGCAGACCTGGTTTTTTTTTATATTTCTCTTTAGTACAACTATTTTTTTCTAATCTTTGGTCCAGATTCCAAATGTTTTATTAGGATTGGGAGGTAGCTCACTGGCAAAGTGCTTGCCTAGCAAGTGCAACATCCTGGGTTCAATTCTCTCTCCCACCTTACACACACATACTCAGAGAGAGAGAGAGAGAGAGAGAGAGAGAGAGAGAGAGAGGACAAATGTGTTATTAATAAGTTACTATTTATTTTTAAATAGTAGTTGAGCACAAATGGTTTTTAGAAAGCAAAATCATTTTTATTTTACTTCAGAACACAGTCTCGGAGCACTTGGAGAACTGTTATGCCAAAGACAAAATCTATATCTATGTGGGAGATATACTCATTGCTCTCAACCCTTTCCAGAGTCTGGGGCTTTATTCTACAAAGGTACGTGGTGTGGCTCACGTTCTGTCACATTATAGGTAGGGTGACACTCTCCAGACTCTTGATTGGAATGAGTGCCAGTAAAAAAAACCTACCTAGCACTTTGGAAGAAGTTAAACAGTACTCGGTAGACAGGAAAAACCAAGGAATCAATGCAAATGTAGTGTGAGACAATTCTTTTTCCAAAAGTGTACATCAGGATGTTTATTATATCTAGTTATTAGTAATAGTTTCACACTATTTCTTCCAAAATAAATGTCTAGAAAAATATAAACTTAGTGTCTGCTACTGAGCAAAGTATTAGAAAAATCAAAATTAAAACTACATCATTTGTACATGTAAAACTCGTGGTGGGTTTTTAAATTTTACATATTGATTTGCTTCATTACTATAACAAAATGTGTGCTTTAAGAATATAATTGCATAAGTATCAATTATTCAACCCCTAATGGCTTAAACATAGAATTAAACTAGGCTGTGTTTTTCAATTTTTTAATTGGACCTATTCTCTTCTAGCTATTTGTGTTCTCTAGAAAACTATTTTGATATTATGCCTAATAATTATTTTATGTAAATAAAAAATATGTATCTCTTATCCTCTACCATCTTGGAATTTACAGAATATGGATAAATGTGTGAACTTATGTTACAGAAAAAAATTGGGCTTTCATACTAATTAACAGTGATATTATACACAAGACATCACAGGTTAAATGAAGTAAAAAAGAAAAAGAAGTGATCATATGTCAGACTTTGTTTTTTCTTTCAGCAGTTCTTGTGATTGAATTCAGGGATGCACACTTGTTACCTCAGTGCTTGACCACTTCAGCCACACCCAATGCCCTTTATGCTTCTAGTTTCTTTTTCAGATAGCATCTCACACTTTTGCCCAGGCCAACCTCAAACTGGCCTGTACCACCACATTTACTTGTCAACCATTATATGCAAGGAATAGTCAACAGATGGGTATCTGATTGTCTACATTTCAAGTACTTCATTTAAACAAAGAATAGTACTTTGAGGCTTTAACTTCCGTTTTGGAAGTGGTAGGCAAGATCTTTTTTCCCACACTGTTTTCTTAGCATCAATTAGTTATATAAAGGGAATCATTTTTGACATGTCCTTACATATACAGATTGCTTTGATCAGGCTCACCTCTGTCATGCTTCTTTGTTTCTTCTCCCTATTTCCAAACCAATCTCCAAAGGTTGTATTGTTCCATAGTACACGTTTCAACCAAATTTACCTTCCTTCAAGATTTTTAAAATACTGCCGCAGTGACGTTATGCTACATTACGTCATATCATACACCAAGGGTGTTTAAATCTTTATTCAAGTAATGCATGACTTGTGCATGTATGTATAGGTACATATGTAACACGACTGTGGTTGTTTTGTTGGCAGGAAACAGTATGTTATTCATTTTTTTAAGGTGGAAGTAGACATACAAATGATCGGGCACTAAATAAAAGCAGAAACAAAATGAATAAACCCTATAAACAATGTTCTTTTTAAATTTAGCTTTCCCAACTCTACATTGGAGCAAAGAGAAGTGCCAACCCTCCTCATATTTTTGCAATGGCTGATTTAGGGTATCAGTCCATGATTACATATCATTCAGATCAGGTAAGGCAAGTCTTATTGCTCACAGGATTTCCCCTCTTAGTTTCTTGTGCTCTTGTTGAGTTTTGTAAAGGATGAAGTCTTCTCTCATCTCCTGTGCAGTGCATCATTATTTCTGGAGAAAGTGGAGCTGGAAAGACTGAAAGTGCTCACCTTCTAGTTCAGCAGCTCACAGTGCTTGGAAAGGTAGGATTTATTTTTCTTCTGTCCTAGCAGAAATACTATTATATTTAGAGCTACATATAACTGATTCGATTCGTAATCACTAATTCCCTTCCCCCATTTAATAATGAATGGAAATTATAAAACTCTGCTGTTAGCCAGGCACTGATAGTTCACACTTGTAATCCTAGCTATTCAGGAAGCTGAGATCTGAGGATCACAGTTCAAAGCCAGCCCAGGCAGGAAATTCCATGAGACTTTTATCTCCAATTAACCACCCAAAAGCCAAAAATGGAGCTCTGGCTCAAGTGATAGAGCACTAGCTTGAACAAAAAAACTCAGGGATTGTATCTAAGTCTTGATTTCAAGCCCCAGGACCTGCGCACACATGCAAACAAAGAACTACAACTCTAATGAATGACATAGGAAGATTATATCTGTGTTGAAGATATTCCAACTTTTCTTATTAGGCTATATCTTTATAAGTCAGCTGTTTTCTTTTTATTAGCACTATTTTGCTGAATATTTTCTTTACATTTTCTGCACTGTTAACAGATTAAAATAATCACTATACAAGCACCAATTGCATTTATACACATATGCAGTAAGCTTGCCTTATGCATAGACTTATTTCCCATAATTTTGACCAAGCATGATCAAAAATAATAATAAACTTTTAAAATCAAAAGAAATTTCAAACACAAGAGTGTTAAATTCTCCACATATGCATTACACAGATAAACTGATTTAGAAAAGGCAATCCCATATACGATCACTTGTGTTTTAAATCACTGTGTGAACTCCTGAATGTTTCCCTGCTCTTAATTTTGTGAAAAATCTGCCTCCCTAAAAACAAATGGTGCCCCCCAAAACAAGGTAAACAATGTATTTAATTGAACTGATAAAGAGGAAATTTTACCGTCACTTCACCAAAGGTGACATGTAGACATAAATAAATGAAGTTGTCCAACAAGGTAGCCACTTGGGAAATGCAAATTAAAACAGCAGACACCTATAAACAGCTATTACTTAGGCTAAAATTGGTCCTAAAATCTGACAAGACAAAGCACTAAAGAAAGGATCTGGATGCTTGAGGGGATGTGGCCAAAAGGGAGCCCTACTGCACTGTTGATGGGAGTGTAAACTTGTTCAACCACTCTGGAAAGCAATATGGAGGTTCCTCAAAAGACTACAGATAAAGCTCCCCTATGGCCCAGGAATCCCACTTCTGGGCATTTACCCAAATGATCACAAACTAGGCCATACTAAAGCTTCCAGCACAACTATGTTTATCGCAGCATTATACACCATAGCTAAGATATTGAACCAACCCAGATGTCCCTCGGTAGATGAGTGGATCAAGAAAACATGATAGATAGATAGATAGATAGATAGATAGATAGATAGATAGATAGATAGATAGATATGAATTCTGTGCTTCCATCAGAAAGAACAAAACTACCCTGTTTGTTAGGAAATAGAAAGACTTGGAAAAAATCATATTAAGTGTAATAACCCAGTCCCAAAGAAACACAGGTCCATGGTTTCCCTTATTTGCAATAATTAGTATACATAGAGGATAATCTTGTCAGATGAGCTGGCTCAAAAGCCACGTACAAATGACCATATAAGATGATGCTAAGTGAAATGAGCCCCAAGATAGGGACACAAGAGGTCTGTCTTTATTGTTATTGTTTAAATGTACCATGTGATTTTATTTTTTGTTGTTGTTATTATTTCCTTTGTATGTTCTTTCCCCTATGGCATATCCTCTGTTGTAACTGTACTTGATTTTGGCACCCTGCATCTTGTAGGTACATATGTCTAATCTGGGGAGGGGAAGGGGAATAACAAAATGCTGAAACAAGAACACAGGATGACCCATTGCAACAAAGATACCCATACGACAGTATAGTGGAAACGAACTTTACAACTTCGGATGGGGGGAGGGGGAATGAGGGATGGAGGGAGGAGTGTGGGAGGTGAGAGAGGGAAGGGATAGTGGGGCAGCAACAAAGAAGGGAAGGGATATTGCCTTACTCATGTAACTGTAACCCCTCTGTACAGCATCTTTATAATAATTTCTTTTTAAAAAGGAAGAAAGGATCTAGAGCAGTTAGGACTTCATATATTATTAGTGGCATAGCCCTTTAATAGTACCCGTTTGGGTGTTTTTGTAAACTACATTGGCTGTAAAACCCACCAGTCACTTCACCAAAGGTTTTAATACTTTCTACCAAGTGTGTTGGTACAGAGCAGAAATGCACTCTGTTCATTGGGTTAACACTGAACTATGACCCCTCAGGCCTCTCAGAGGTAGAGATCAGGAAGATAGTGCTACCACAGGCTCTTTTCTCCGCTCTTCATTTCTTCTCAAGCCCTGGCCCATCAACTCCTCTCAGGACTTCGAGGATAAGAACATCTAAGAGACAGTGAAGTAACATGTGACATGCAAAGGGAGCTCCAGACTTAGTATACTTGAGCAATGGCCTTTCTAGGCCATCGTCATCTGTGAATCAATAGAAGTTCTCAAGAATAATAGATTAACTGTGTGTGGCTGTAGTTTTGTAGATCTCAGCAAACATGAAATCTAATCTCCTGATCGTATTCTAGATCTAAGATCTAGATTTAATGTTTAGTTGTGTGCTGTCCATTCTACCCTTATCAGGTCTGATCTTATGTTTTACCTATGTCCTGGATAAAGATTTATCAAATGCAAAAAGAAAAATGGGATATTTAGGGAAATGGAGCTTGACACAAGTGGGAGAGGTTGCCTAGCAAGCAAGTGCAAGGCCCTTATTGCCTCTTTTAGAAGACTCCTAAAGTCCTTAGACAGCTCAACACCTCTCTATGACTGTATTTTCTGGCCCCCTGGTGTGCCAATGTAGCCTATGTCTAGAAACAGCTAGTGCTACTCACCCTCAACTTACAAACTATCCATATCTTTAATCCAGTTGACCTCTGGGAAGTGTTCGTGTTGACATTGACAATCATCTCCTTGAGCTAATTTCTGCCAAGATGCACGTTACTTGGAGACTCCCTCAATCTCTTTGCCTTTCTAACAGTGATTGGCTCTAACCCAAATGAGTTTCTACTTGGCAGAATTTCCCATAAAATGGTAAAGAAGAAAACCAAAATCAAACACATGTTTGGGCAGAAATGACGTAGGGACAGTGACTGAGGCTGCTGGCCTGGCCTGCCACTCCACTCTTCCCATCCTCACTTCTAAGCTCCATTTCTGAATCTATGAATTGTCTTTACCCTCTTTGTTCTTTGCTCAGTAACAAAGAAATGGATTCTGGCATTGGGGAAGACATAGAGGAGGGCCCAGTCCCTGGCATGTAGGAATAAGAAAATGAGAGTTGTACCTCAATAGCTACACTGCATGTAAATTATATCCGATGTCAGGCACTGCCCAGAACTGTATTTGAACACAAGCCTATAGAATATCTTTTCCCTCTTCAGACAAAGGAGGTGATTAGAGACCAGATTGTTATGCTGCCATCTTTCAAGAATGTGTTCTCATATGTTCATATCTACAGAAAATACTTATCAAAGAAGAGACACTTTATTATAGACAAAACTATTTTTACTGATTTTTTTTAGCATCTTGACATTTTCTCCCTAGTCTAATAACAGAACCCTACAAGAGAAGATTTTACAAATGAACCATTTGGTTGAAGCCTTCGGCAATGCCTGCACTATTATCAATGACAATTCCAGCCGATTTGGAAAATACTTAGAAATGAAATTTACCTCTTCTGGAGCTGTAGTGGGAGCACAGATTTCTGAATACCTTCTAGAGAAATCTCGAGTTATCCATCAGGCTATGTAAGTTTGTGTCAGATATCTTTTAGTTTTCTGAGAAATGTAAGCAAAAAAAATAAAACCAGGCTTCTGCTTTAATGGTAAAAATGTTTTTCTTATTCAATGAAATTGTGTGGATGACTTGCTATGTGCAAGACATTCAATTAAAAAGACCCTTCTTGCCGGGCACCAGTGACTCACGCCTGTAATCCTAGCTACTCAGGAGGCTGAGACCTGAGGATCGCGATTCAAAGCCAGCCCGAGCAGGAAAGTCTGTGAGACTTATCTCCAACAATAAACACTCAGAAAAACTGGAAGTGATGCTGTGGCTTAAGTGGTAGAGCACTAGCCTTGAGCTGAAGAGCTGAAGGACAGTGCCCAGGCCCAGAGTTCAAGCCCCATGACTGACAAAAAAAAAAAAAGATCCTTCTCATGTCTTGATTAATAAATAATCTAGAAATTATGCTACCAGACCAAAAATCTATAGCCCACCATGGAGGTATGACCAGCATAAATAAGAGCAAGTTCTCAATTGAGAAGAGTATATTTCTTTACACAAAATCAATGTGAAATTTAATTAAAGGTAACCAAGTCTATCTATCTTTTAAATATAAATGTGTTTTTCTTTTATATAATGCTCTACAGAAATAGATATTTGTAATAATTTTGTTCTTCCTGGGCTTATACAGAAGAGATCAAGTAAATGATTCAGGAACATGCTGTTTAGTTGATAGCTGACTTAAGTCATCAGAATTATTTATGGTTTGTTTGTCTGTGTGTCAGTAATAGGGATTGAACTACAAACTTTACATTCTCACTTGGCTGTTTTACTCATGGCTGGAATTGTATCGTTTGAGCTTTTTACTGTTAACTAGAGAGTCTCCTGGATTTTCCATCTGGGCTGGCTTCAAGCCACTCTCATTAGATCTCTGCTTCCTGAGTAGCTAGGATTATAGGCATGAACCACCAGCACCTGGTGAAATAATTTCTTAATAGTTGAAATCATGTGAAATATGTTCTAAAAAGATAGCAGAATTAGAATTATATTTAAACCGTACTATGTATTAAATAATGGGTTTCCCCCCCTCAGAGATGGCCTAAGGATCTATTTTTTTTTTGCTTTACTATATTGTTTATTGTGGAAAATCATGCCACATCCAAAAATCACAATCCTGTAGAAATACAACTCCAGTATAATTTGAGTACTGCTACATTATAATTTATAATAAGACATTTTTTCCATTTTGTGTGTTTTTTATTTACTTTAAATTGCATTTATACATTTTAGAGCAAGTTTTGAAAATGAGGTTATCAGACATGTAGTAGATGCATTATTTGCAGGTGCATGGTTTAATTATAAATTTAATTAGAATACATCCATCCGAATTACTAGAAGGAAGGAACAAATTTAAAGGGTTTAATCTAAAAAAAAACAATTTGCAAATGTAGAATGGGCATAAAGAATCAAGAATGAGTGGTTATCCCAGAGTAATAAATGCTGAGCCTACAGACTAACCAGGCCTGCAGGGCTCAGGGTAAGAAAGTACCACAGAGCCTGGTAAGAGAGGGAGCTGCTGGGTAGAGGGGCTGCCTAGAAGCGCATTAAAGGAAATGAAGCTTCCACCAAAAGAAAGGGAGTGGATGATCTACCTCCTTCCTTCCTCTGCTTCTCCTCACCAGCATCTCCCTGTGCTTCCTATTGGCTAAACCCAAATAGAAGCCAGGAAAAGAGGGAGGGGCTCAGATACTGCAGTCTACAGAAGTCTGTCTGCCTTTGGATCACACAGAGCAAGGCAGAGAAAGTTACACAACCAATGTGAGGACTCAGGAAGACAAAGAGAAGGGGCACCAGAGCAGACATTTATTTTCTTAAATGAACTCCCCTTTTCGAGAATTGATGTCTTTCATCTCTACCTATGCCAACCTCCCCCCACCTCACCAGCCCCGCCTTACCCCCACACACACACTCAGTTTCAGATCACCTTTCTCCTGACATTCTGATACCTCGTGACTTAAAATGCTTTTCTCAATGTTGATGATTTTAAAGAAGAAAAATTTACCAAGAGCCTCTTTAATTTCAAGGAGAAAATAAGCATATTGAAGGCAATGCTGAATCATTCTCATAAATATAAATTACAACTGTGTCTGATACCATTTCCTCCTCTTATGATAGTGTAGTTCAGCAAGCCTTGATTCCATTGCTCTCCCTTGCCAGCCCTTTGCCCGTCTCCCTAGGCTTCATAAACAAAGTAACAGGCATGGTGCTGTCTGCTGTCGAGAGAGGAAAGATATATTTATGAAGCAATTATTCCATGCCGAGCCCCTCACAGCCATTGTGGCTTTTAATTCTCACAGTCAGGTGACAGAGTTTTATTGTCTCTTTTATAAATTAGGAAACAGAGAACAAGAGAATTTTAATTCATTGTTTAATGATCAAAAGCTAGGAAATAACCAAATTGGACTTTAAATCCTTGTCTCTCTGGCCAGTTCCACAGACTATCACTCAATCCCCATTTTTCCTTCTTTCTTTCTTTCCTTTTCCCTTCCTCTTTCCTTCCTTCTTCCCCTCCTTCCTTCTTTTCCTTCTTTTCTTATTTTTCTTCCTTCCTTCCTTCTTTCCTTTCTTCCTTTCTTCCTTCACTTGACAAATATTTATCTATTGCCTGCTATGAACTAAGAACAGAAGCTGCAAAGCCAATTTTAAAAAAGGATTCTTAAGCAGCTCACAGTCCCCTAAGGACTGGCACAATACTCTGAGACTCATTGGTCTCTAGTTTCTCTAGGAAGTAGGAAGTGAGTTCAGCTGCTAAGAGTGAACAGATAGAGGACTGAGAGAAGACTGGACGTTTAAGACAAGGCAACTGTAACTAAAAGAGAACACTGGGAGCCTTGTTAATAGGTTCCCTGAGGGCCCCTTGGAATGTAAAGCATGGTCAAGCTTTAGGGCCTTCTTCCTGGCTGTTTTGTCCCAGTCACAGCTGTCACAGTGAGTTGTGTTGTGGCTAGGTGAGGACGTCAGGATTTCCAGAGTATTAGGGGCCTCAGTAGCATAGGTGATTCCCCAGGGTCCAAAACAGGTAAGCATGAAAACACCTCCAAGACATTCCTGCAAGTAGCTGAGCAAAACTCCAAAGAACTATTCCAGGATCCACAAGTAGAAGTACAGCTAGTCAGGGAACTACTATGGGCTGGCTGAGATGTTACACTTGTTTCCAGGTGGTCCTAACCTGAGAACCACGTGACCACATGGGCAGAAGTGTGGCTTTGATGTGACTTGGGGCAGGACATTAAATGGATAATCTTCTATCCCCCTTGGCTTTAACTCTGTTAACTCTGAAGGTCAATGCATTTCTCAGAATATCTCCAGGTCTTGTCAAAGTAAATGCTTTGCACATGTAAACTGATAATTAAGAAGAAATCCACTAATTTCGTGTCTCTGCATTTATGAGTCACTTCAGTTAATTGTACGTCGCATTGTTTAGATTAAAGATGTGATACACAGAGCAATCAATGAGATTTCATTGGAACAAAGCAAACTAAATTATATGCCATGCTAGTCTTAGACATCTTTTATTATTCTGTGGTGAGAGAAGATAAGAGCTCAAGTTTTAGATTTGCTCTTACCTCACTCTTGAACAAGGTTTAGCATCTGTTGCCTTCTTTCTGGTGACTGCAACAAACAGATAGACGTGTGGAAGAGGCTGGTCTGAAGGGTTTTGAAGGAAGGCAATTCAGGCAGTGTAACCCAGTGGTAGAGCATTTGCCTAGCATGCTAGACGCCCTGCAAAACCCAACCTTAAAAATGAGTGAAAGGTATATCAGAACTTGCCTCAGAATCCTCCCTGGAGACAACCTATTAAAACCCTCACTTCTGTGCTCCATGACTGGCTTCCAATTCTTCTTCCTCCTCTCTGATTATTCTTCTCTGCTTTAGATTCATTCATCCATTCCCAAAATGGATTTATGGAGATTTGTCCAGAAGGCTTTGTCTTTTGTTCTCTCTGATGTCTTCTCAATTTCTTCTGACATCATGATCTCAAAACAGCCAGCTCTGTGTAATGGACACCCAAAGATAGACTTCTGCTAAGCTTACCATGTCTACTTCAACCACTGACCATCCTCCAGTCATCCCACACTCAACTGAATTCATGCCCCAACTCTGAGGGGTTGATTGGGGTTTTGTTTTTCCCCATAGTCGCCTTGGAACCATTCACCTCTAGCTATGGAAAATGCTCTTCACTCTGCATGTCTAAATACAGAGAAAGATAGTGTTCATTTCCACAATCAACGTTTTACTTGCCTGCTTCCTCTCCCTCTGCTACTATTTTATCTCAAGTCTCTGTTCCATCAGACCTGACATTTGAAAGATTTGGAATTTTTCTAGACATTTAAACTGTCTTCCAAAGCTTAGAGTTATGTCATCCTGCAAAAGTCTCAACCCAACATGCAAAATAATCAGAGATCCTTATTTTTCTCTTAAATATGTCTTCCTTTGTTTGTAAACATAAACAAGAATAGCAATCTGCTTTATTCACTTAATCAAGTTCTGTACTTCCAAATGCAGCATTTTTATTTATCAACTTTCAGAAAAGACCACTGGAACATCTAAAATAGTTATAGGCACTGCACAGATCTCAGACCTGTAACCAGAGTATTTTAAACTTAGGTGAATTATGCCTTAGAAACTGTGAAAATAATTCTTGTACTAGCCTTTGCCAAAATCTTGAACCAAAAGTAAAGATTTTACAATAAAACCACAGATGTGTCCCAAAACTCCAACTATCTTTTACCTCACTGGAAAAGTCAATTTATATGGATATGTTTGCATTACCATCGATTTTGGGGAAAGCTTCTGCGTACCACAAGAATAAATAATTTCTGAAAAGAGAAAAGTTTCCATTCCCATGGAGATTATACTTCTGAACAGACAAGAGAAGACTGAGGAAAGTTTTAAAGCACCTTTTATTCCTTGAAATAAAATGCTTTGGAAGGAATTATGAGTGGATTTCATGTGCAAAGCTTTCAAAGTAAAGTAAAAACAAGCTTTCAAAGTAAAAACAAGCTTTGCAAAGCTTGTTTAAGTAAATTTAATGACATAATAATAATGATTTCTGTTCTGAACATATTTCATTGATCCCTATATTCACTGACACAGGCTGTGAAGGAAAGGAGAAAAAGGAGCTGGGTAGGAGATGAGTGATAGCTGGCCTGAAGTCTCTATGTTGGTAGGGGAGCCCAAGCATAGCTTGGGCCATGGACAAAGGGAGCAGGAAGTCCAGCAACCAAGTAATACAGGATCTCATGACCTACTCTTGCTTTGTGATGAGTGGAAGGTTCTATTCTGATTTAATTTTTAATTATTATTATTATTATTATATATATTCTTTGTCGGTTGTGGGTCTTGCACTCAAGGCCTTGGTGCTGTCTTTGGGCTCTTTTTGGTCAAGATGAGTGCTACCACTTTGAGCCACAGCTCCACTTCCGGTTTTCTGGTGCTTAATTGGAGATAAGAGTCTCACAGACTTTCTTACCCAGGCTGGCTTTGAACCCCCATCCTCAGATCTCAGTCTCCTGAGTAGCTAAGATTACATGTGTGAACCACCAGTGCCCAGCTCTGATTTTATTTTTTTAATTGCACAAAATAATAGGTATTATTATGACATTTCTACAGATATATGCCACACACTGATTCTTTTCTCCCCCATTACCCTTACTTGTCTCTTCATTTGATTTCCACCTTCAATACTCTTTTTTTTGTTTCATGACTTTTTGTTTATTCACTTTGTTTGTATGCATCTATATTTCACATGTGAGAGAAAACATGAATCATTTGTCTCTCTTAGTCTACCTTATATCACTTGACATGTTGACCTTGAGTTCTATCCATTTCCCAGGAAACAACATAATTTCATTCCTTTTATTACTGAGTAATGTTCTACTATATGTAGATACTATATTTGCTTTGTCCATTTTTCTACTGTTGAACTTCTAGGCTGATTCCATAACTTGGCTATTGTAACTTGTGATACCATAAACATGAGTATGCAGGGATCTCTAACTGACTTACATTTTTCTCACTTATATCCCCAGAATAGTAGAGCAGGATCATATGGTTGTTCTGTCTTTAGGTTTTTATTTCCATACTGATTTCCACAGTTTTTGCACTAATTTACATTCCCACCACCAATATATAAGATTCTTTTATCCCCACATAAGAATGAGTTGTTTGAGAGTATAAGTAATGCCTAAATAAATAAGCTAAAAGGTGTCACTACAGCTGGATTTTTGAAAGAAAATGGGCATGTGAGAATAGGCTATGCATCCTTAAAAAAAAAAAAAAGAATGGCACCTTAGGATTGCATTATATTATATGCCATTTTATATTGCCTGCACTTTAATCTCCAAAGAAGTAATGTATGGTGTCCCATTGTTTCTTATTGTTAATGAGCTTTTCCCTAAGAGGAGGCACTTAATTCTATTTTACTATACTGCATTAGTTTCTTGGAGGTGGATTCCATTTTTAAGTTCTCTGTTTCCTTAGCCATAATGTTCTCTGGATCTGGGAACTCCCTCTTGTTTATTTCCAACAGAATATAATTTTAATTTAATGTAATATAAGTCATACTTGGTGATCAGCATATGCATATGGCCTCTTCTAGCAATGAGTACCCAATTCTTACATGTATCAAACCTTTTAAAAATACATACTATAAGATTTGAAGGCAAGAATAAAAGGCCTGAAAGGAAATGCCCTGTATGATGCAATTGCTTAGAAATGGTTGATTCTAACAGGAAACCCAATGAACATGCTGTCCAGTTCTTGACTCAGAATCTTTCTAAATTCTTTGATAAGGACACAAAAGTTCTAAGTTAAAACTGTTGATAGTCTGTCATCTGCAGGAAGTCATTACTTTCACCAAGCACTAATTCCACAAAATGACATAAACTGTTGTTGCCTACCATGATTCTCCCTTTGAACAGAATACAGGCAGATGGGTGATCAGTAGGACAGCCTCAGATAATGTTGGCCTTTTGTAAATTCTTAAGACTATTTGGTAGACTTCCGAACTTAGAGAGTAAATCTAGATCTTTCCTGTTGTGTCAGAAGAAAACCATGGGGTTTAGAAGTATACTTATCACAGGTCTGCGAAGTTGGCTTAGTGGTAGAGTGCTTGCCTTGCGTGCATGAGGCCCTGGGTTCGATTCCTCAGCACCACATAAGCAGAAAAAGCCAGAAGTGATGCTGTGGCTCAAGTGGTAGATCGCTAGCCTTTAGTTCAGGCCCCACGATCCCCCCCCAAAAAAGTATTTATCTTAATAGGTCTATTGCCAAAGTCTAATGATCCATATTCAAAACTA